TCAAGTAGCTTACAGACGTCAGGGATGGTTCTATGAAGATTATGGGTCCTAATGTGCCCCATGAAAACNATTGAAATTACTATGGATTGTAAAAAGTTCTACAGGGAATACAATGGAATGAAAAAATTAATATTCGATAATTAGTGCGAGAAATATTACTTTCTAAACTTGAATTTAAAAAAATACTATACTGGCCGCTCTGCAGGCTGCGGCAGTGCAACTATAGAGTTGAAATTTAACATGCTGAAAAGGCCATAACTGTTCATAAGTCTATAAAGATTTTTTTTTAAAAAATCCAATTTTTTTAGAGTCATTGCAATTTTAAGAGTATACTTTGCAAATTTTCACTCACTTCCTTTTTTTTTCTGTCACATTTTGCTATGCGGCAAAATATCTATAAAAGTTAGAAGTGTAAAATTCTGATGGCATTAGAAAAAAGTGCAGGAAATACGGATAAATGAAAGAAATAAGAGTCTGCAACCCTTTCGATAGTTAATAACTATTGAATTTGTAGAGAAAAATACCATGTTCAGTAGATATGTAGCTAGTTAAAATGCAACTATGGGGTTATAACATAATGTGTTGAAAGATCTTTTTATTTATGAATTTAACGAAAACAATTTTCAAAATTCAAATTCGTTTGAAAGTTGATGCAAATTAAATACTTTTTAATAAGTTTCTTCAGTCTTCTTGATTTAAATATTGAATATTTATACATAGTTGTAGAAAAAAATATTTTCCTCACGAGTTCATTATTTCCTTATATTATAAGATCAAGCTAGAGTTATGTCAGTCGAAAATAGCAAAAAAGAGAATGATGTTGAGTTTATAAATTGCCAGATATAAATTTTGTAATTCATGTTTATAAATTTCGTAATTCATAAAAAAACTTAATAAACAGCAATAAAACCGTCCATTTACTTGAATTCTTAGAAATCTCGTTAGCGATTCTCTTTATTGTTTCACCATTTCAGCGTATGTTAGCGTGGATTTTTCCAAATACTGAGGCCAATTTTTCAAATCTTTGCAATCATCTACTTCGTTACGATTAGCATATTAACAAAATGTTCTTACGTAAAGATGCAACCAACATTGTATTCTTGAAACGAAACATTCTATAATTTTGAGGAAAATATTGACGTTTAGAAAGAAAAAAAAAAGGAAAGAAAAAACAATGATGTATGAAAAGCTATTATGGGGATTTGTGAGTAAAGCTAGCAGAGAAGGCAGTTTCCCAGTAAGAATTAAGAAAATTATTATAAATTCTATTAGAAAATCTTTCAAAATAAAGCATGAATTAAAACTTAGCATTTAATTAACTTAAATAATTAAGTTAGTAGAAGGCTATGGGTCAAAAAATCACTTAATTTTATTTTTCATACACGTGCAATAAAATCAAAACATAAGCAACAAAAAATTGAAAATTGATTATTACAAGCATTAAAAAAATTGATGTTTACATATTTGCTTTCATAATTTTTTTAACAAAATTTTAAATTATAAATCTTTATATTAAAAATTAATTTGCAGAGTGTTTCAATACGAAATCAGATAGGAATGTCTTAAGAGATAAGGGAGGCAATTTCAAGAATGGAAGGTACATCAATTATTGGAAGCCATTCACTGTGGTGAAAGTTATTAAAAATTAAAAAAAAATTTTTACTTTCAGCACTATAAACATACATTTAGTATAAGTTTTATAAAAAATAGCGAAGCCAAATAAATGTAATATCGCTGAAAGCCATTATAAATACGTTGTTTATTTTACAATGACATTTAAAAAGAGTAAAGCACATAAATGTTTACTGTTTTGATAAATTCGAACACGTTTTTGATTTAAAAGAATATTTTTTTTCTGCAACGGCAGGTACTCAACCTCGGAAGATGCCGGAAGTGTTGCTCATTTAACATTACCCAGTGGGCACCTGTGAACTTAAGTCGCGGAGGCGAGCAACATTACCCACGCCACACTGCCCCTAAATACCCGTTCATAGGGTGGGCTACATTCACACACAACAGAGGATAACACATAGAGAGAAACATCCATGCTCAGAGCGGGGTTCGAACCCGCCGTCATTGGCTTCGCAGTCAGGCCCGCTATCTGTTCGATCACTTGGCCGGCATTTAAAAGAATATATGTACTTTAAATTTTTACAGTGACTTCACATACTAATAAATCTAAGAAACATTTATATTTTATGTTTTGTAGAAAACTATGACTTTCTGTAACAAATAGAAATATATTAAAGCGTTTATTCAAGCAAAATATATTTAATAAAACGTTGCAATGGCTTGTTTTGTATAAACCCAAAAGCAATAACGTACGATTTTTTTCTTTTTATAAGGAAACAGAAATATCTTTATACCACGTAAAGAACATTTACCAGAAATATTATCAGGGCAACGTAGCTCCGATGCATATTACTTCTACTTTATCCGTTATTATTCATCGAATAATAACTCCGCAAATGGATTGCTTAGCCTCAAACCAACTCCCTATTTTTTATTATGCTTATTTTTTTCCTGCGACGTTCTTAGCTGTATATCTCATGTCAGTATCAGAATCGTTTCACTTATGCAGCAGCAATAACTAAGAAAACGTTGGGGGTAATTGTACACACTTATCACCTTAGAAAATATTCTAAAAGATCAGGTATAAAAAAGGTATGGAAGGATCAATTCAGTCTCCATGGCTACCGAACAGGATGTGGATGAAGCAGCTTCCCTGCAGACCAGATTATGTGCCTCCTGTCATAGTGAAATATGCCTCACAATGACTCCGCTTAAGAAATTCGTGTAGTCAATGGAATGCTAGACATCATGGAGCTTTCACAAAAAACCTTGAATTAAGGCTTTTCGATCCTTTATATTCTGGAATTTTCTTGTTTGTTCGAAGAGAATTGGATAACAGTCGGGCATTATTATCAATCTTTTATCCGGATTTGAAGCAATCTTCGAATAATTGATAGTATAAAGAATAGTTAAGTTTTAATAGAAGTTCTGAATACATTCATCATTTTGAATCATAAAAGAAATCAGAAGTATTATGGTAAATTGCTTGGCAAAAATATGGTTTTCCATGCGAAGCCCTTAAATAAAAATGAGCTCAACCAAATCGAATTAAAAAACGTCTGTGTTAGTGAGAAGTATTATAATGAAAGGAAACTACTTGTTAAAATAATGATTTAATATAAGAAGCCCTTTAAAAAAAACTGTACCATGTTCAATTAAAAGGATGTTTATATTACTCAGAAGTAATGCAATGAAATGAAATTGTTGCTAAAGCTCGTCCTTACATTGAAATTAGATAAGCCAATTTAAAAAAGTTGCAATAAACATATCCTAGCGTGATTATGTTAAATATTCATCAAGTTTGTTTTTATTCTTAATAGACCCAAAGGTAAATTTTATATACATAAAATTTACTCGATGAATCTTTGTTTAATCAAATCCTTAATAAGGCTAAGATATAATTTACACTACCTTGTTTCGAGGAACAATTATCCCAACAGCTATTCTTCATGGTTTAGCTTGATAATACGCACTACTCTGTTAAAACAATCCAGCACTGATAGTATTCGAGAGTCATATTTCAATCAGTATTAGTCTTTAAAATCAACTGGAATATTGTAAGGGCTTTTTCATACAGCTCTCATTTGGCTCTCGATTACCATGTATTATTTTGTTTTTTCCCTCTATTAATTTTGATATCCTATTTATTTCGTTGGCGATTACGATTTTTCTTGGCCCTTTTATGTTTTTTTTTTTTTCATTTTTCACGTGTTGGCCACTTGATGAGGAACATCGAGTTTTAAATGCTTGAATCTAAGTGCTTAACTCCCGATGAGGTCCTCCAGATTCAAATCGTTGCATTTTCCGGTTGAAATAAATTTTGCTCCAGGCTCACACCAGCAATAATACTTTCTGACTTAAAATATCCTCAGTAGTAGGTGGATCATGGGTTGAAATCCTCTTGACGTCGAACTAACCGTGGGTGGTTTTGTGATTTTCTTCTCCATGGATCGCAAATGCGGATTAGTTTTATCAAGAAGTCCTGAAAGAAGCTAGTTTTCCCAGTGATCAATCCGGGAGTTCCCTTGTATTCTGGGTTGGGTTCAAAATTACAAGACTATGGAGTTGAACATTGATAAATTTAAACTCAGAATTACGTCGGCTGTTTGGCACCCGTTATGAAATGAAAATAAAAAAGACTTGAATCTTATCAACATAACTCACATTTCATCAAAGAAGTATGGTTTCCTAATTATTATTTTTTTGGAGGGAAGATTGTTCGTTCCATATAAAAATCATTATCACCTTAGTCTATAATCAAAAATATTTTAAATTATTCCTCTAATGAGTTTTGTAGTAAATAAGAAACAATAAAAAATTAAACAATTCAGTTTGGCATATTTATCGAACATAAAGAATGTATTTAAACATTCTGTACAAAAACTATCCGTCGAAAACTGTTTGAACAAAATAAATTGACAACAGGCGTTATCATTCATAAACCTTATCATTCATACATCCATGTTGCTCTTCCAAATGTAGACAAACTGATAATCGTAAAATCTGAAGTTGGGAGGGTTTCAAGCAACAGCTGGGGTTGGTACCCTGGTCCTTTACATCAATTGTTTTAATGGCAAATGAAAGTAATGAAAGATCGTTGTTTTTATCAGTTTTTTTTATTTTTCTGGAGTTCTATGTTTAGAAAGCAGACCGACCAATATAAGAAAACCCTGGAAAACTTAATTCCTTTAGCCATTGATCCAAAGTTAAAGCGTACCATGAAATACTGAGTTTGAAAATTAAAAACGGATTTCGCATTTTCTTTTCTGGTTTTTAATAGCCACTGAAAGTAATGAAAGATCTTATTTTCATCAGTTTTCTTTTATTTTTTGGGAGTCTAACTATGTTTAGACAGCAGACAAATATAAGAAAACCAAGGAAATCTTTCTCAATAAAATAAAGTAATGAGTAAGTAATCCCGCAGAACACTCTCGTAAGAACAAATATCAATTTCGTAAATGCATATCAGATGCATTTCGTAAATGTATATCATTCTGCTTAAGGCCAGAGAAAATTACGATGATTTAGTTAAATTCTAAAAAGGGCTCCTTAAATCTATTTTTCTACTGTTTCTATTAATCTACCTCTTTCTACAACAGCGAAAAATCTAAACTTTTCAATAAAGAAAATTTTATATTCGAAAAATATGCTATTAAAGGCACTTTAGGGGTAACATTTCTTGTTCTGTCATCTTTAAGGTAAGATTAAAGTGCATTTTAAAAAAGCTTTTTCTCGAATGATATTTATAATAATTATATGTTTTCTTAATCAATAAATTATTTATTTTGTAAAAATGGTAAATAATGCCAAAATTCGATTTGGAAAGAAATTTTAATTGCCAAATCTGTCATAATAAAATGCAGAATTATTAAAAATAGGTTTCGTGTTTAAATTTGTAACTGAAATGGTCATCTTAAATAATATAATTTAGGATAATTAAGTTCAACTCTTTAATAACTTTTAATTCAATGGTGCACATCAGTGCGATAAAATACTGTCTGAGATCGATTTTTTTCTAATATTCTTGTTTTCATTTTATGTACTGTTCTTGTTTCCGGTGGAATACCAGATTTCTAGAAAAAAAGGAGCTTTATTTTTGCAGAAAAAAAATTTAATTATCCAAGTGAACTTCCAATTTGTTCAAAAGTTATTACAATATTAAGTGTCTTTTTGAGTCTTTTTTTTCCTTTAAATTAAAAAAAAATATTTATTGTCTTTCAAAAATTCATCTCTCTCGAGATTTCAATTTTATAAGCTCGCATTTAATTTATGTTAAAAGTAACAAAGAATAAATTACTAAAAAATCAGGGAGAGATTAGACAGATATTGCCAAAAAGAGATCTTAACATTTATATCAAAATTTTCGAGAACACAAAGACTGAAGAGGTATCAAGATTATTTGCAATACGAATTGTTATACGATATAACGTTATAAACTGTAAAGAAGTAAAACTACTTCTCATTTTTTACTTCTTATAGTCTGGCATATTCTGTATTCTTAAATTGCTTTTTTTCCAAATATATTTGATTAATCTTTAAATCTAGCTATCCTTTCACTTCGTAATGATTAGCATACTAACTAAATGTACTTACATAAAAGTATGTATTTTATAAACAAAATGATCTCTTTGTATAGACTTTAAAAAATAAACTTTTAAGAAACCAAGGAAGAGCAGTTTATGTTCATGAAAACTGATACTGAAAAAAAAAAATTCCACTCAAAAATGAACTGATTTTCTTTCACGTCCCATGTTCACTGTGTAATAACTCATGGGGCGAACCGATTTTCCATGTCATTGATTTTCCAAAACTGAAAAATCCTTCAAATACAAGAAGTGGTATTTCCATTGTAATTTTTGTAAAAATGGACATAGACGGTTCTTCCCCTTTGATCTTCAATGAGGAATGAATAGCAACGAAGGGGTTGGTGAGCGAAGCGAGCAAGGGGTAAAGCCTCTTAGCACAATAAAATGCTGATATTTTCAGGAATAAATAGTTGTACTATTATTCACAAATTCTTTTGAGGAAAAATAATATTGGGTAATGGAAGAAGAAGGCTATAACTGTAAAGTAAAATTTAATAACTAAATAAAATGTAACTAATTTCAAACCTTAAAAAAAAAATTTCATCACTATTTCCTGATATTTCACTTTTTTAAGTATACTATGTCCAATTGTAATAAAATAATTATTAAACACTATAAATAATTCATTATTAATTTTATTTATGGTTGATAATGAATCATTATTAACTATACATAAAAAAATCATTAGTCTCTAAAAAAATGGTTGCTTTAACTGAAATTACTTTGATGTTTGAATAATTGGAAAAATATTGTATCAGGCTATCATGAATATTTAAATAATTTGTAATACAAATTCTCTAAAAATGAATAACATGAAGCAATAATCCGAGTAAATAAGATACTGAAAATTTAATATTACTGCACATCATGTTAAGTAAATAATAAATGCATTTCTTTTTATATTGTAAGTGAAAATACCATATTCTGTCAGATAACACGATCTAATCTGAGAAACCTTATTTTAATAAGATGATTTTTGATCTCTACAGTGGCTTAGAAATTAAATGTCATTCCCTAGACGAAACAAATAACAAAATGATGATCTTCATATGATATAAACTCAAACTCACGAAGCCTGAAGCACTAGATTATTCACAGAATACACTTCTCAACTCATTCCGTAAAGCAACTGCATAAATATTTTATTTTTACATGGAATTCATCGATGGTGAGTATAAAAAATTCCAACTGAAAATTAAATCATATGTGGGATTTTATTTTTAACAAAATATATGTATGTTTATTTGTATGACTATAAAGGAAAATACAAAATGGAGACGAAGAAAATATGTACAAGCCTGCCAATTTTTTTCTGTATTTTTCAAAATGAAAAAAATATGTTATAAACATTAATCACTAAATTATAGTAATTTGAAGTTTGCAACTGCTCTTTTGGTACAATTATGTGACAAATTATTAGCAAAAGAGAGCTAAAAATAGTTTTTGCAGGTTTTCATAAACTGCTATTTTGAAGAGTCCTTAAAAATTTAAAGAATTCATTCAGAACTTTCCTGGTTTTCGATACCTCTTTATCTTATTCGCGCTTCTGATATCTGTTTACCTGAAAAAATTTAATCCTTTTTCTTAAAAAACTGCATTGCTGTATTATTAATAAACAATACATTTTATATATTTAGTTTATTAATTAAATCCATAATTCCTAACAATTAATAAGTTTATGTTTAAAAGCATTAATTTCTATGTCATCAAAACTTTTAATGAAGATATTTCGTATTATTACTACCATTTTCAGAAACATCTCTTAGTTTCTCGATTAAATATGTAAAGAATCTTTTGTACTTAAATTAAATTTCAGAGTTCATAAAATATATTATCTCTGAATTCATTACTTTGTAATTGAAGCCAGCATATGACTATATGTAAGTATTTTGCCTATATGTAATGAATATATGTATATCCCATATTTAGAGTGCTTCTATATTATATGAAAATAACTGATTAAACGTTAAACTATATAATCAGTAAGTTAAATCCTAATTCCGTTCTAAGAATGTAAATTGTAAAATAAAAAAACTAATAATTTTGAAGATCAAACATTTATTTAAAAATGAGAAACTCTTTCAAACGTTGACCAACCACAATTCTGACGTTAAATTTTCTTATAGTATAAACAGATCATGGTTTAGATTCAGATTGCTGTCAGGCTGGCTCATTTTTGATACTTCTCTGAAACTTCGAATTATCTTTTTCATAATTTTTATGATTCTGAAGTTCCTTTGTTTTCAAGTTGGACCCAGAATTAGAATTCATGTATATGTTACCGGCAAAGAATAAAATCCGGCATTATATATAATGCCTAAAACTAGCCGGCAAAGTATGAAATGATTTATATTTCACAAATGTCCTCGGCATTATGTATAATCCAGATGGCAAGGAAACTCCTGGATGAGTACCTCCAGTGGTATTGACTTGTTATGGGAACAGGGAGGACTTTGCGACTCGACAGATTTATCGTGCATCAGTCACCATTTACTACACGGGGAGTGTTTAGCCGGCGGGGATTGAACCCACGAACTTTTGGACATTGACCCAGTGTCCTACCAACCAGGCTATCCTGGCCTTTCAACAACTTATTGAGAAAAGGAAGTTATCCACCGGGTAGAACTTTTCATACTTATTTTAACAATTTTCGATTTATCTTTACTGTATTACTTGAGTCAGCACTATAAAGACAAAATTTATATTAGTGCTCCAAAAGCAAGTTAACTGTACAAAAAAGAAGATTTATAATTAGTTTTTGATTTAAATTTTTTTTTATTTATAGATATTTACGGTACAGTTACATTAGAGTTCGGCAAAACTAATCACCAACGTGATTCGAATCAATCGGTTTACGTAGGTAATTCGAACAACTTAATCATTAAATCACTTAAAGCACAAAATATACTCTATACTTTTGGACCTTTTATGTGCATTATGAAATTTGCATAATTAAAATGCATGTTTCATGATCTAAAAATTTCAATAAATAATTACAAACAGGAAAATTATTTTTTCGAGTGCTTATGATACTTAAAATGATCTAAATACCAAATTCTCAAATTATGACTAAATTATGTAAAGTGATTTAGCCCTTTAAATTTATTTAACCGGGATATAAATCATTAAAAACTGACTTTTTTTTACACGAATATGTGAGTAATTACACAGATTAAGGACAAATGCAATTGGGTATTAGTTCGATGATACTTTACGGTGAGTTTTCAGTTCTTTTTCTTTCTTCCTTATATTTAGAGAATACAAAACTGATTTTCATTATCTTTCTAAATTTTATTTTCAGAGTTAAGAGCATAAAGGGATTGAGAGTTGTGGATGCATATGTTATGCCTGATAACCTTTCCTTCCGGAAACACCAATATTCTTAAAATCATTATCGCAGAGAAAGCTTCAGATATAATTGAAAGAGTTGCAAAAAGAAAACATCAATGTAGGAAGTCCATTGTCAATAAAAATTATTTTTAATGATTTTGATCGTTGAACAACTTTGAAAGGACTTTTACACGATATACGACACACATTTTGAGTAAGTGACTAAGTCAATAATTAACCAAAATGCGATGTCGTCATGAGTCATATAAACATAAATCGTTTACTTCTTCTTAGGAAAAAATGCCCAAGTTGATATATTTATATAAGCATTTGAATAACTCAACTGCGTTTACTTTCAGGTTTTGGTGGGTGACTTTTTTTTATTTGACTTTTTACAAAGTGTTCTGAATTGAGTTGGTGAATCTTAAAAATTTATATCAAATAACGATTACGATAAAAATGCGAGAAGTGCCCGGAAATTAAGTACCAGTTAGTGCGCAATGCAGACTCACAGTTCCGTGCGTAGCGTGCGCACATGTGCTTCTGGTTGCTGTTCACTGGCGATATTACAACCGGATTGCGTTACGTTTACGTGTGTTAAAAATGTTTAAGACGAATGCTGATCCCCCCGACTTTGAAGTNGCGCAATGCAGACTCACAGTTCCGTGCGTAGCGTGCGCACATGTGCTTCTGGTTGCTGTTCACTGGCGATATTACAACCGGATTGCGTTACGTTTACGTGTGTTAAAAATGTTTAAGACGAATGCTGATCCCCCCCGACTTTGAAGTGCGGTCTATACGGTTTTTATCTGCGGTCTATACGGTTTGAAGTGCGGTCTATACGGTCTATACGGTTTGCGGTCTATACGGTGCGGTCTATACGGTATCTATACGGTTTTTGAACCGAAAAAATTTTAAGCCATCCGAAGTTAATCGTCAAGTTAGAGAGATTTATGGCGAAAATAAAATAAGTATTCCACATTTCATTGATAGACGCATTGATGTTCATCACAGTTGATGTTCATGCATTGAGTAGGCAGCCTTTTGTTGCCAAATCTGGTTTAGTTGCAAAAATGAAGGAAATATTGCGTAAAAACGAAAGGTTCACAATAAAAATACAAATATCAAAATATTGTTTTGCATCAGATTGTCACAAATTGATGACAAAAATGTTTAGAAGTTTTTGTCACCACAGCAGCATCTAGGCATCTGCAAGTTCCTTTCTCATAGAGAAAAAATGTCTAGCTGTAACTATGCCGAAAAGTAGTTGGCGAAATTCGTTTTCACGTAAAAATAAATTTCGTTTTGAAGAAGAAAAAAAACATTTTTATGCTGTTTCTTCAAAACGATACTTACTTTCTGGATTTGTCTTGCATAATTTTTGCATTAAATTTATGTGACAGAGTGGAAATTTGTCTATCAATGTTCATGTTTTCAATTTTAAAAAAAATACAAGTGATAGTTGTAAGTATGAGACCTGCAAATTAAAAAACTTGAAGGCAAATGGCGATTTTTTGAAATCTTTCATTGAATGAAAGCTATATTACGATATTTTTGAATTATACAATATCAGCCACATTCGCATCACGTCGTAATTAGTAATCACAAAAATTTTTATACCAAAATGTAATGGAAAAACAGTAGGTGGAACTTATCATGTGGAGGAAAATGCTTGACATAAAATCAGGATTTTTGGGAGAAAAATATATGATTTTACTTGGAAAATTCCTGCAAGAACTTATTTTTTAATTTTAATTGTTCTTCTTTCGAATAATAATTTTTGAAATCGTCATTCTGATTTAGAACAACCCTGTAACTTGATTGTTTTTTAAAAAAATTCAATGCTCAGAATGAAAGAAATACCTCCCTTTTAAATTTAAGAGAGGAAAACGTTCGTATGTATTTTATAATAATTACTATCATAGATTATAATTATTAGCGTATATTTGAATATAACGAATGCTTATAAGCCAAATTTTTGAAAATATGCAAGAATTTTAAAGAAAATATATTTAAGCATTTGGTTTGATGTAAAGGAAATCACACATGTGCTATCTCGCACACATACACTGAAGAGCCATTACATTATGACCACCCTCCATCTATAACAATGGGCTTGCCCAGGTTTTCATGGTTTCTCGCCCAGGAACAATGTTTTCATGGGGCACATTGGGACCCATAATCCTCATAGAACAATCCAACAATCCCTGATGTCTGTAAGCTACATGAACATAGTTGCAGACCAGGTTCACCCATTCATGGCAACAGTTTTTCCTGCGGGGGATGGTGTTTACCAACAGGATAATGCACCATGTCATAAGGGTCGAATCGTCATGGATTGGTTCGAGGAACATTCCAGTGACTTTCAAGTCATGTCTTGGCCCCCAAATTCACCTGACCTTAATCCAATAGAGCATTTGTGGTCCTACTTGGAAAACCAAATTCGTGCTGCCACGCTACCCCCTCGCAATGTGAGGGAATTGCAGGACCAGTTGGTGAGCGCTTGGTACCAGATACCTCAGACTACCTATCAGCACCTTGTGGAATCAATGCCACGGCGGGTGCTAGCAGTTTTGAGGGCTAAAGGTGGCTCTACATGTTATTAGCAGAGTGGTCATAATGTAATGGCTCTTCGGTCTATAAGTGTGCATATAGATGTGCAATCTCGGGGTAATTTTATTTCATATATGACTGTCTTCTCTACAATATAAAATAAATATTAAGCATATTTCATTTTGCTCTTTCATTTTATTTTTTGTTTCAGTTGTAACTCATTCTCTTATTTTTGTAATTATTATCAAAAAATTTTATCTTAGAAACATGAAAATATTAAGACATTTTAAAAAGAAAAAAATGCGTAGTTGGACTGTGTAGTTTAAATAACGGAAAAAAATCTATATTTTTATATTTTTGAAAAACAAATTCTATATTTGCTTCATACGCTACAAGTTTTGAAGAAATTTTCAAGCAAAACAAAGTTTCATTCGATACAAATAATTTGACGCACTAAAATAGCTTTCATAATAGAAAGCACATATAATGCGTGCACTGTAGACAAGGTAAAATATTCTAGCTCAAAATTAAAAAAAAATAATATCCAACAATACAAAACTTATGAAGGAGGAATCATTTTAATAAATATTTTTTGAAAACCGTATGGTCTCACACTTTAGTCACATCTGAGTCACATCACTGTTATGCATCTGAGAAATTTTAGAAATGGTATATTATTAAGTTTCAATGCAAAAAGGGAATAGTCCGATTTTTAAGAAAGAGTAGTCAAAGTTTAAGTGTTTAATTTAATGGCAAGAAATTTCATTTATTTTGAATTTCCCTTTTTAGGACCCTTAAAATTACTCAGAAGTTCTAGATTTAAATTGACAGTCTGTACTATACTACTGTACTATTTACTGTACTATTTCATAATTTTTACTTTTCTCCTCTAAATAAGTGACTTTACTTAAACCATTAATTATAATATAAGCGAATACATTAAGTATAAAAAAGTTGCATCTAACATAAACATTATTCCATACAACTAAGGTGAAAAACTAAAAACTATAACTCCCCTACATTGCATATAATTCAATTCATTAAACGTGTTATATATTTGTTGTCGATTACATCATCTTTATCAGTAAATTCACAGCAAACAAAATTTTATACGTAGATAGTGGATCGATACGTCTGATAGAAAGTCTCGGGAAATCTCGTTCACAGCGAGAGGAAACGTCAGGTGCTCCTTTAGGGCAAAACCGAACATTAGCTAAGACCATTGTGTTTATTGTAGTACAATTATTCTTCCGAAATGAGAATTTCTATTTAGGCTCTTCTATTTTTTGCTCCCAGTGACAAAGTAATTGTTATTTGTACAGAAGACAAATAAATGATGTTATAATTAAATGAAGCACGTCGTTATCTGCATTTTCTCTTTCCGATTTCTATTCCACAGTTGTTATTTTTAACATTATTTTTATATTCTTTTCGAGAAGAACTCATTTTCCCTTATTTTCAATTTAATGTTAAAAGGAAGCATTGATTCTGCCAATAAAATAAGTACCAATTTTCCTCAATCTAACTCTGTAGTCGAAATTACTCTAATCGAGATGGTATATTTAAAAAGAAAACTGTTAGATGGAATTAATTGATTAAGGGAATATTATATCGCACAATCACTACAAACTTGAAAGTTTAGTATAAAAGTAATTTCTGTAACATAATAGGTATTCCGATTTTTTAAAAAATTAACTCATCTAAAAATTTGCACAATTTGAATTACAGACATATTTGAAGTGCGTAAAACATGTTCTAAATATCTTTAAAACAATGGCTCTACTTATGAAATTTGAAGTTCGTGATGAAACATATACATTGATTAAAAGCAATTTATTTTTTACTTCTGATGAAAAATATTTTTAAAAAAAAGAATATAAGGAAAATTTTTAACTTTAGACTTTTACAGTAACTAATCAGAGAGTAACATATTTTATAAAATTTTGCATAAGCAGAAGCATTTTCGGAATTTAATATTTTTATGGTATGTAAACTATTTCAATAATGTCGTTTAAGTCTTATTTTTTAAGACGAAAAAAGCATTTTGAAAGAATTATAAAAATTAAAATATTCAAATAAAAAAAGCAATTATGAAAAAAAACTGTGCATTTATCTATTAATTCAAAAGTCTAATTGAAAAAACAAATAATTAAATTTTATTCAATACAAACTCGTTAAAAGACAGTTTTCATTTAAAATGGTAGAAAAAATGCTTCATAAGTATTAGAATTAAAAACAAGCAATGAAAATGCCAACATACTGGACATAAACAGTTGAAAATCAATATAACTGATGCAATATAAAGTTATTCTTATGAAATAGTTTGATGTTTAACTACACTGTTAGAATTTTCATTCTGAAATTACTTTAAAATAATAAGCAGCAGTTTGTTAATCCAATTAACCCTATAGTTACGGTTAAGAACATTTCCTTACTTTTTCGGGTTTGAAACGTTTGCAACTCTAGTATAGTTTTAAAAAAACGTAAATGCAAAACTATAAGTCTGTAACCAATTACAATTAGCATGATTTCAAAACCGTAGAAATGAAACTAGCATAACATTGGAGTGAGGCTATGTAAGGCCTTTCGTTATATAATAAACA